AGATCGCGCCATTGCACTCCAGCCTGGGTAACAAGAGCGAAACTCGGGCAAAAAAAAAAAAAAAAAAAAAAAAAAAAAAAAAACCCTGGACAAAAAAAAAAAAAAAAAAAAAAATTAAAACAACTTGACTCGCAGAGATACAGAGTAGAATAATGGTGACCAGAGGCTGGGGCGTGTAGTGGGGAGCCACCAGGAGGAAAGTGAGGATGGTTAATGGGTGCAAAAATGTGGTGAGATAGAATGAATAAGATCTACTGTTCGATAGCACAACAGGGCGACTGCAGCCAACAATAATGTATTATACATTTAAAATCAACTAAAAGAGTATAATTAGAATGTCTGCAACACAAAGAAATGATAAATGCTTGTGGCAATAGCTACCCCATTTACCCTGATTTGATTATCATGCATTGTATGCCTGTATCAAAATATCTCATATGCTCCATAAATATGTACACCTATTATGTACCCATGAAAATCCAAATATGATAGATGAAAGGCTTAAATGTAAGACCTGAAACTTTAATGGTCCTAGAAAAAAAAAAAACATAGGCTGGGTGCAGTGGCTCATGCCTATAATCACAGTACTTTGGGAGGGCAAGGCAGGTGGATCACCTGAGGTCAGAGGTTCAAGACCAGCTTGACCAACATGGAGAAACTCTGTCTCTACTAAAAATTCAAAATTAGCTGGGTGTGGTGGAACATGCCTGTAATCCCAGCTACTCGGGAGGCTGAGGCAGGACAATCGCTTGAACCCAGGAGGCGGAGATTGCGGTGAGCCAAGATGGCGCCATTGCCCTCCAGCCTGGGAAACAAGATGAAAACTCCATCTCGAAAAATAAAAAACAGAGAAACAGATCCATGACGTTGGTCTTGACAGTTATTTATTGGACATGAAACCAAAAGCACAGGCAACAAAAGCTGAAATAAACAAATGGGGCTACATCAAATGAAAAAGATTCTGCACAGAAAGGAAACAACCAACAAAATGTAAAGAAAATCTATGGAATGGGAGAAAATATTTGCACAACATTCACCTAAGAAGGGGTTAATATTCAAAATACGTAAGGAACTCATGCAACCCAACATCAAAGGTATTTAACAGCCCAATAATGAATGGGCAAAGGAATAGACATTTTTGAAAAGGAGACATACAAGTGACCCACAGTGAGATCAAAAGGTGTGCAATGTCACTAATCATCAGGGAAATGCAAAACAAAGTCATAATGAGATATCACCTCACACCTTTTAGGATGACTGTTACCAAAAAGTCAAAAGATGCTTCCTCCTGTCTTTCTTTCTCTGCCATCGTGGTGTGTGCTTTACTCCGTTTCTCGCCATGTCTTCTCACAAGACTTTCAGGATTAAGCAATTCCTGGCCAAGAAACAAAAGCAAAATCGTCCCATTCCCCAGTGGATTCGGATGAAAACTGGTAATAAAATCAGGTACGACTCCAAAAGGAGACATTGGAGAAGAACCAAGCTGGGTCTATGAGAAGTGACACATGCGATGGCACACATATTTATGCTGTCTGAAGGTCACAATCATGTTACCAAATCAAGCTGAAAAATGTCACCGCTATCTGGAGAAGTTTGAACAGAGTTTCCTCTCTGGATCTGCTATGAAGGCATTAGTTGGTACAACCCATTATTCATGTTAAAAAAAAAAAAAAAAAAAAAAAAAAAAAATCCCTAAAAAAAAAAAAAAAAAAAAAAAAAAGAAGAAGGCTTTGGTTGGCTGGGTTCAGTAATAAATATGTAAGACCTTTCACTTAAAAAAAAAAGTCAAAAGGAAGAAGTTGGAGAGGATGTGAAGGAAAGACAACCCTACACACTGCTGGTTGGAATGTAAATTGGTTCAGTCTTCATGGAAAATAGTATAAAGTTTCCTCAAACAACTAAAACCAGAAGTTCCATATGATCCAGCAATCCCATTTCTGGATATATATCTAAAGGAAATACAATCACTGTCTTGAAGAGATGTCTGCACCCACATGTTCATTACAGCATTATTCACTACAATCAAGACGGGGAAACAACCTAGATGTCTGTGGATAGTTACATGGAATCTTTAAATGCAATATCATATGCACATTGGAATATTATTTAGCCTTAAAGAAAGAGATGCTCTCATTTGCAAAAACGTAGATGAACCTGGAGAACATTATGCTAAGTGAAAGCAGCAAGACACTAAAAGACAGATACTGCATGATCTCATTTATTTGTGGAATTTGAAAAAGTCAACCTCATAGAAGTAGAGCGTACAAGAGTGGTTATGAGTGGCCAGGAGGTGGAAGAAATGGGGGCGTGATCAAAAGATACAAACCTTCCACTGTAAACGTTCTGAACCCTAATGTGTAGCTGGTGACCACGGTTAATAACAATGTATTGTTTACTTGAAAAGTGCTAAGAGAATAGATCTTACAAGTTCTAAACACGCACAGACACATGAACACACAGACACATGAACACACACACACACAGACACACACAGACCCACACACGCATGCACACGCGCACGCGCACACACGCGCTCCCACACACGCACGAGGTGATGGATGTATTAGACAGTGGTGGTCATTTTACAGTGTATACATGTATCAACATGCCGCATTGTACACCTTAAACATATGCAATTTGTATCTGTCAATCATATCTCAATAAAGCTGGAAAAATAAATAAAGCGTATTTCAGAACCATGAAAAAAAGAATTTCTTCAGAGTGATATAGGTCTGAAATTCTGATCTGTATAAAGAAAAAAAAGAACATTACGGAAAGAATGAATGAGGATAAAATAAACTATTTTATTTTACTTATTCTTAATTCATCTAACTAAAAACAGTTTATTCAAATCAACAACAGCAACAATGTATTCGGAGGCTACAGCCTTTGATAATGTAGAAAGACTGACATGGACGCTGTAAGAAACAGGAAGGAGGAATGTGGAATACTCTGTGTGAAGAATGATGAATTTACTGTTAACTTGACTGGATTGAGGGATGCCTAGATGGCTGGTAAAGGATTGTTTCTGGGTGTGTCTGTGAGGGGACTACTCAGAGGAGACTGGCATGGATGGAACGAGGGACGATCTGCCCCAGTGTAGGCAGGCATCCTTCCGTCAGCTGATGGTGCATGGAACAAAAAGGCAGAAGGAGAAGGAATATTTTCTCTCCCACTAAGGAAGCGATTGCTTCCCCTCTCTCCCCCTTTCAGAGCAGGGAAGACCCTCTCCCCCTGCCCTGGGGTGTCAGAACCCCAGATTCTTCAGCTTTGGGACTCTGGGATTCCTACCAGCACCCCTTCCCCCAGGGCTTTCAGGCCTTCAGCTGCAGACTGAATTATACCATCAGCTTCCTTGGTTCTTCAAGGTACTTAATGAAGTACAGGCATACCTCGGAGACATTGCGGGATCAGTTTTAGACCACCACAGTAAAGCGAAAATTACAATAAAGTAAGTCACGTGACTTTTGGGTTTCCCACGGAATATAAAAGTTATATTTACTCTATATGCTGTAGGCAGCTGGGAAGGTCAGGGGGAAGGAATATTTCAGCAGCACAGCAGGATCCGGGCTCAGAGGCTGTCCCGGGGAATTGGAGAAAGATGGAGGAAGATGGTGGGCAGGGTCGGGTGCACAGGGGGAACTCAGTGCTGCCTGATAATCCCGGGGAGGGCTCAGGGTGGGGCCAGGGCTTGGTGATGGTCCTCACAGGGCCTCCTGGGAGCTCTGGGGCTGCCCTGGGTGGTCGTCAGGGATGGAGAAGGAAGAATAGACTGGGCTGGCTGTGGCCAGTTGTGGGGCAGGGAAGAGGAGCGAAGAATGACACAGAGGTTTCCTAATGATGTAATTAAGGGGACTGTCCCCAGGGTAGTCTCTGCAGGACCTGGGGACAGGTCCTGCTGCAGACGCCAGTGAAGTGGGTCCCCTGGGGAAGAGTGTGGAAAGGTGCATCCATCTTGCACTTTTGTTTGGTGTCTGCAATATCTGCTGGCCCTCATGACCAAGTGGCCTCACCTCTTGGCTATGCCCACAACAGGGACCCAAAGGGCAGGTGAAAGAAGGGCTTGAGGGCATGAAGAGGCCTCCCAAGTGTGAGACATTTACATCTCTCTGGAGGTAGGAGTGCAGAGAAAAGATTTAGCCCCCAGAGCTCCTGGCCAGTGGAAGAGAAAGAGTCATGAGCTGGAAATGCTCATGAATGTGATGGAAGAGTCAGGGCTGCCTCAACACCTGCTCTCTCACTGTCCCTGACAGGGCCTGGGAGTTGAGAATGATCAGGGAGGGCTTTCTGGAGGAGGTGGCCCTGAGCTGAAGATTTCAGGATGGGTGGGAGAGATTTACAATACTCTGAAAACTTCATGGTGCCCAGGAATCACTTGGAGGTCTTATTGCAATGCAAACTCCCATTCCTCAGGTGGGGCCTGAGATCCTGCGTGGTCACAGTCATGCCCTTGCTGGGACCAGCCATGGGGTAAACAGCACCTGGAGATGCTTCTTGGGTAGAAGTGAGGTGAAAGGAAGGGGCATCAGGCGGAGACAACACGGTGTGGCAGAGCCTGTGTCCAGCTCTCCAGGGGTGCTGCTGCCAGCTGCACCCTTAAATGCTGCGGACCACTAGCTGCTCAGCCCAGACCCCTGATCCTTCCTGACTTGTGCTTCCCCTCACCCTCTGCATCCCATCCATCTCGTGTCCCACAGATCCTGCCTTCAAACGCCCTCCCTTCTCTCCTCTGCATCACCACCATCCTCATGCAAACCAACTCGACCTTTCATGGAGCAGTTTCTCCCGGAGCGGTGCCTCTTCCTGGGACCCACTTCACTCCTGACCCTCCCATGCACCTCCATGCAGCCACGGGAACTTTAACCAAAGGCCTGCGCTTGTCAAGCCGGAGGCCGGCACGTGGCGGAGTGTGGTGAATAGGCAGCAGTTCCTGCCCACGCCAGGCTCCCTCGCTCCGGGTCATGAAGGGCCACTGGGCATTGCCCTGCATGGTGCCTGTGTCTGCCATGTTAGTAGGAGTTGCCCTGCCCTTCTCACTCTTAAGATTTTCCAGTTAGGGTGATCAATGATAAGATCACAAAATGATAGCTTAGCTGACTTAGTCAAAGAACTACAAATATAAAAATATAACTATTGCCGGGCGCGGTGGCTCAAGCCTGTAATCCCAGCACTTTGGGAGGCCGAGGCGGGTGGATCACGAGGTCAAGAGATCGAGACCATCCTGGTCAACATGGTGAAACCCCGTCTCTACTAAAAATACAAAAAATCAGCTGGGCATGGTGGCGCGTGTCTGTAATCCCAGCTACTCAGGAGGCTGAGGCAGGAGAATTGCCTGAACCCAGGAGGCGGAGGTTGCGGTGAGCCGAGATCGCGCCATTGCACTCCAGCCTGGGTAACAAGAGCGAAACTCCGTCTCAAAAAAAAAAAAAAAATATATATATATATATATATATATATATATATATATATATAACTATTGTAGGGTCATCACATTTTTTGTAATCTTTTTAGTTAACATCATTGTACTAGTCTGTTCTCGTGCTGCTAATAAAGACATATCGGAGTGTGGGTAATTTATGAAGAAAAAGAGATTTAATGGACTCACAGTTCCACATGGCTGGGGAGGCCTCACAACCACGGCAGAAGATGAAGGAAGAGCAAAGGGACTCTACATGGTGGCGGGCAAGAGAGAACTCGTGCAGTGGAGCTCCTCTTTATACGCCCATCAGATCCCGTGAGACTTATTCACTATCATGAGAACAGCATGGGATAGACCCACCCCCACGGTTCAATTACCTCCCACCAGGTCCCTCCGACACCATGTGGGAATTGTGGGAGCTACCATTCAAGATGAGATTTGGGTGGGACACAGCCAAACCATATCAATCACTCTACCTCCTTGAAGAGCAAATGCAGCCATTTTAGCTTTGAGCAGTTTCTAATAAAATCTGAGTGATGTGCAAAATAAGCATCACTTGGAGCCTTCTCTTTGTTACAGAAAGGTCCCTACAATTTATCGTGGAGCCAGAAGGGACTGCACTTGAAAATCGTTTCCCAAGAGCCCATTCTTGTGCAATGTTCACGTGATGCAATATCCATGTGAATCATACACAGATGATCCTTATATTAGACTCTAATGTAAGGACTTTTTCACAGTGAGGTAAAACATTGAGCCTGCAGATCTATGATAAAAATAGGAAGTTGTGATGCCAGGAAAAGAAGTACTGAGAAGACGAGGAAGAAGAAAATGCAGTAGCAAACATCCACGTCCAGGGTCCTCCCTGGATATCTCTGATTCAGTTGATCTTAGGTGGGGCTTAGACATCTGTATTTTTTGCAAGTTCCTCTGATGATTCTGATGCAAAGTAAAGCTGGGGAATTCCTGCAGCGGGGCGTCACCTTTAGACTGATATTGAGGAGACACGTGTCTTTCACCCACACCTGGGCATATCACAGTCAAACTGCCAAACATGTAAGATGCAGGAAAGAAAATGCAGGAGAAGCTTATGTATAGAGAAACGTCTCATTTACATCTCATTTGTCTTCACAAACCATCCAAGCAAGAATGGTGAATTATTTAAAGCGTTGAGAGAAAAATATCCACCAACCTAGAATTCTGTAGCTTGCAAAATTA